CCACGGCTCGATCGCACTGCATCGATTGCTGCTGTTGTGCTTTGCTGCTGCTTTGGATGCATGCATGCACGCGAGCGCCAACCGAATTCATCAGAAAGATCACACACACGCACGACAACCCACAACGACGACAACGACAAGCGAAACAGAAACAGGTAGGCAGCCAGCCAGCCGCGCTTGCTTGCTCGCTCGCTCACTTCTGTCAGCCAGCCAGCAGTGGGTGAGAGGAGCAACACCACACTTCACCAGCCAGCAACCGCCATCGCTGACCATCCACAGGAGTGAAGCAATTTGCTCATAATTTGTGCTGTGGCAATCGCCTCTCTCACCAGCTCGCATCTGCACACACACACACACACTCTCTCTCTCATTGATGCACACCACGCGCTCACACGCAAGCGTCGTGGTTGGTTGGTTGGGTTTGCGGTTTCCATTTTCATTTGAAAGCCGAGGACCCCCGAGCTCCTGCATTCCTGATCCATTGTTTTGAGGGAGGACGAGGGCAAGGACGAGCACGACTTGTGGCAGCAGCGACAACAGCGCATCCACCCATCCACAACACTGCAGCCACAACACACACACACACACGCACACACAGAGGACACCCACAACAGCGCATCCACAACACACAACACAACACACAAAACACTCACAACACAGCAGCTGCAGCTGCACTTAACACATCCAACCAACAGCACAGCCGCCAGCCACAACCACCAAGCAGCCAGAGAGACAGAGACAGAGACAGAGCATGGCCACCTCCAGGACGGCCAAGACCGTCCTGCTGGCTACCATCCTGCTGACCTGTCTGCTGGCTGGCACGCTGCTGCTGGCGCCACGATCCCACTCGCCATCCTCGCCGCACACGGCCTCCGAAACCGTCGAGCGCGAGCTGCAACCCCCAAGACTATCTATCCAACAGCCAGGCAGCCATGCCCAGGCACAACACCGCTTGACCAACCCTGCATCGAAGCCCGCGCTCACACGTCCACTGCCAACCACAAAGAGAAAACAACAGCAACAGCAACAGCAGCGGCAGCAAGATGTGAAAGCGGATGGCACCACGAAAACAACCACCACAACCACCACAACCCAGCAGCCTGTCGCCGTCAGCGACGTTGTTGCCGATGCTCACAACCGCAATGCCTTCACTGCGGCAAAGGTTCACAACAAGCAACAACAACAACAGCAACAGCAAGCACATGGCGATGATGATGACGACACAAACGCTGCCAAGCTGCTCGCTGCAATTGAGTCCGAGGAAGCGAAGCGCCGTGCTGAAATTCGTCGTTCACACAGCAACGGCAACGCCGCTGTCAGCGCTGTAGACCGCAACAGCAGAGGGGGCAACGGTCCCAACAACGGCAATGCTGCCACGGACAACGATGGCGGCGACGGCGACGACGACGACGACGATGAGGTTGAGGCGCTGCTGTTCGACGACGAGGCGAAGAAGGTCGCCTTCCTCAAGCGGAACAGCGAATCAAACGCATTCCATGACGTGGAGCCCGAGGACGACGATGACCACCAGCAGCAGCAGCAGAGTAAGAAGAAGGGACGCGTGAGGGGAGGCAGTGATGGCAACAACTGGAAAGGCAAGCGCCCACAACCCGGCGAGATGACAGATGATGTGGACATGGCGCCTGAAGGTGACAATGATGGGGAAGACACCAGCAGCGATAAAGACGACAAGCCGCAGCAGGATGGCAGCAGGCACAACAGCCATGCTGCTGGTGACGACTACAGCAACGGCCACGGTGGTGATGGCGATGATGATGGCGACGACGCGTATGACGACGACGACTACGATGATGATGACGATGGCGATGATGACGATGACCTGAGTGAGAGCCAGATGGGCGTGCGCATGCAGGACGACGAGAGCAGCAGCAGTTCCGAAGGCTCGGCTGACAGCGAGAACTACGACCCGCAGGCGGCGCGCAAGCTGGCGCTGGCACGGCTGCGTCGCATTGACAGCGACCCCGCTGTTGTTGCGCTCAAGGCCAAGATGCGTGACATGGCTAGCAGCGAGCTGAGCAGCAATGCGCTGCAGCTCATCTCCATGCTGCGTGATGCCGATGCCAGCCACACCCTGGTCACCATCATCAGCGGTGGCTCCAACTCGTCCAAATCGCGCTCGCCGCTGGACGAGGCGCTTCACATCCAGGTGCACAAGCTGCGCGCCATCAACCGCAACACCATTCTGCGGACGTGGGGTCCGGATGTCCTCTTTGTCACGCACGAGGACGTCGACACAACAAATGTCCTCAAGCTCCCGCCCGCCATCGAGTACTCCGGTGCGTTTGTGTGAATGTGTGTGTGTGCATGTGCGTGTGCGTGTGCGTTTGTGTTGGCGTGTGCGTGTGTGTATAAGCGTGCGTTGATTAACAACCGCTTGGCTTGACACATGTTGAATTGAATCACAGGTCGCAACGGACTACCGCTGAAGGTCCGCGCCATGTGGGACGACATCTACACGGTACATGCAGCGTGCACTGATTGCAAGCTGCGGTGTTGTGTCGACTGTGCATGGCGTTCCGTTGGTGTGCGTGTGCCGTTGTTGAGCAGCAATGTCACACATCCCTCACATTCACACACACACATACACACACATACACACACACATACACACACATACACACACACACATTCACACACACACACGCACGCACGCACACACACACACACACACACACACACACACACACACACGCACGCACACACACACACACACATTGGTCATCTGTGTTTGCTGTGCAGCACAAGATGCACCCGCAATTTGAGTTCTTCCTGAAAGCAGATGACGACACGTTTGTGCACCGCTCGCGACTCAGCAAACTCCTCCACACCCTCAACCCACACGTGAGTACTCTTCTCACCAAACCACACCCTCCGCCACGCACACGCACACGCACACGCACACGCACACGCACACGCACACGCACAAGTTGCAGTCTGTGCAGCAGCGTACGATGATGATGTGGCACGGTTATGGTTCATGTTGTGCCGCGGCTTCGTCGCCCTCTTGTACATCCTCGTTCTCTCCTATTTCTCCGCTCACTGCACCCCCTCATCTTCACGCCTTCAGATCCCCATGATCCTCGGGCGCAAGGCTGGCGGGCCAACGGGCTTCTGGTGTGTTGCGCACGTGTGCACGTGTGTTGTGTGTGTGTGTGCGTGTGTGCGTGTGTGTGTGTGTGCATATGCGCGTGCATCACGGCGATTATTTTGTTTTGTCAGGTTGACTGCGGTCCAGGTGTTTGGCATCACATCACTCCAACAACAGTGTCACCTTCATGCACCTCCATACTGACGTCCCCTATCACACACACACACACACACACACACACACACACACACACACACACACACACACACACACACACACACACACCATGTGCAGCCACGGCGGGGGCGGGTACGTGCTGTCGCGCGGTCTTCTCGACCACATTGGGCCGCACCTCAACGACGTGTGCAGCAACATCGACATGTCCCATCCATGGGAGGACATGTTCATGCGCGAATGTATTGCTCGGTGAGCCCGCGTGCTGCTGCCCGAGTATGTGTCGTCGAGTGTCGTGTGGCAGTGTGTGCACATGTTGCGTGTTGTTGAACTGAGTGTGTTGTGTCTTTTTTGTGTGTGAATTTTGTCTTCCTTCCTTCCTGTCCATCTTGATGGGCAATGAACCACCCACACGCTTGCTTGCACACACACATACACACATACACATACACACACATGCACATACACACACACACAATCTTTTGTGTGCTCAACCACACCCTGACATCCTGTGTGCCGCCATGTGCCACTGTTTGCTCTGCAGCATCATGTCGCTGGGCGGTCGCGGTTGGCAGACGTGCACGTCCCAGGCGTTTATGGGCTTTGACACCCTCTACTACAACACAAAGAACCAAACGCTTAACGAGCAGCGCTTCCAGAATGTATGGTTGCCACTGCTTAGGTTGCATGCTCCTTGAAGCACACATGCACACACGCTCAGTTACATGAATGCCCACGCGCCCTTCACCCCACCTGCTCACACACTTGCACACACACACACACACACACACACACACACACACACACACACACACACTTCTTTGGTGGACGCAGGCGCTGAAGACGGACAAGCCGTGGCTGCAGGGCCTGACGACCTTCCACAGCGTGCACGCACCACTGACCCGCACCCTCAATCGCGCCTTCACCGAACTCGATTCTGATGAGCAGCTCGTCAACGCCGCCGACTACAACATGATCCTCCAGGTGTGCGTGTGTGTGTTATTGTTGGTGGTGGTGGTGGTGTACTGCGTTTTGTGGAGTGTGTGTTGGATCTGTCTGTGCCTCTTGCTTTCTCTCTCTCTCTCTCTGCGCCTCCGTATACCTGACTGTTTCTTGACTGCTCACAGAATGGCCTGCACACTCGTCACCACTGTAACCTCTTCCACTTCCACACCCCGCCCACCCCCCCCCAAAAAAAAAAAAAAAACACGACATTTCACCAGATGTACCGACGTGTGCGGTCGGCTGCGTGGCGATGCGACATGCCCTCCAGCGTCGCAACAGAATCCCGCGCCGCGCTCTGCTCTGCCCCCGCGCTCAGGGTGCGGCTGGAACGCTTTCTCTTCGACGCGGACGTGTGTCTGTCATTGCAGGACTGGAAGGTGGCTGTCTCCTCCACCCCGCGCCTTCCAATCACAGCCAGCGGCGATGATGTGAACGCAGATGGCGGTGCCGCTGGTCACGAATACATGCAAGCAGCCGGCCCTGACGGTCATGACAGCGACAGGAATGGTGATGCTGATGCTGAGGGCGATGACTCTCGCTTGCGCAACGCCGTGTTCACATATGTTGCGTTTGGTCGCAAGGCAACCTCAAAACGCTTCCTCACCGTTCTCATCAAGGTTGGTCGGCAAAAGAAGGAGAAAGACGACAATGATAGTTGCTCTCGCTGCGCTCGCTGCTTGTACTGTTGTTTGCTGTTTTGCGTTTGCTGCTGTGCTTTCGATCTGTTTTGGGATTGCTCCTTAGTTTCTGTCGATGTTGCAAGCATCTCAGCCACCCGTGTGCGCATGCTCACACTGCTCGCCCGCTCCCCGCCATCAGAGTCTGCGCGATACCGGCAGCGATGCGGATGTGATTGTCGCCGTCGCCTCGAGTGACTTTGACCCGGCCCTCGAAAGCACCGCGCAGGAGTTTAAGGTGTGTTTTTACGCTCTTGCCCGTGTGTGTTGTGTGTGTGTCTGTGTCTGTCTGTCTGTCTGTCTGTCTGTCTGTCTGTCTGTCCCCCCACCCACCCCCCGTTTGTCACATGACGACCTACAAACATTCACACACACACACACACACACGCATCTTGTGTTACCAGAACGTGGCTGTGGTGTCATATGATCGCAAGAAGGTGCGCAAGACCCACCGCACGCTTGCGGATGTTCCAGCCAGCTACTCGTCCTGCGTGTGGGCAACGGTGCTCCACCACGTGGAACACAAGTACAACCGCGTGCTCACGGTACGCACGCGCGCCTGTGTGTTGATGAACGATGCTTGGTGGGGTTTCATTTGTTGATGTGGATTGCTGCTGTTTCTGCCTTGTTGTGCTTGGCGCTTGTGCACGTGCATCGGCCATACCCCTCCCCCCCCCCCCCGAGAGCTGGTCTCACGCTTCCTCCCGGCCCACCACTGATTAACACCAACCAACCAACCAACTCATCCCCCAACCCGACGCACTGCCACGCCTGCGATTACGATGACAACAGACGACGATGGACACGTACTTCCAGCGAGATCCGTTTACAGACATTGCTGACCGGGGCGGCGTTGCGCACTTCCTCACCAGCCCCACCATGACCTACCTCTCGCAGGACTATGGTGGGTGGATTGCCGACGCCAACACGCAGGCGCCACACGACTACCTGCGTCCGGAGCAGTGCAGCGAGCCAGACAACTGCCTGGAGCATCGCATCCAGGTCAACCTGGTGGTGATGCTTGGGCAGGCCACCGCCGTCCGCAAAGCACTCACCGCCGTCAACCACCTCGTTGTCAAGGAGCGGTATGTTCGCTGATTGCGCTTTTTTTTTTTGTGTGTGTGTGCGTGTGTTGTGTGGGCGTGGGATGATGGCGTTAGAGCTCTGTGTGTGTATGTCTGTCTGTGCGCATGTGTGCGTGTGCGTGACCTTGTCGTTGTTCGCCCTCTCACATTGTTGTGTTTCGGTTTCGTTGCTTCTTCTTCTCGTCGCTGGGGTGTCCTGTTCTTCTACTTGTTTCTTGCCTCCACCCCTTCCCCCCCCACAGCAACACATACAAGCAGGCGTTTACCGACCACGTGCGCCTGCGGTATGCAGCACGCATGTTCCTCAACGCCACGCTGTACAACGCGTACGACGGGCCTGCCATCTGCCTCGCCTCTTACCGCTGTCTCTTTGAGCACAACATTGAGAACTTTCTTCGCCGCGACCTCAGCGCTCGCGTTCGCTTCGGACCAAGCGGAAGGTGTGTGTGTGTGTGTGTGTGTGTGTGTATGTGTGTGTGTGTGTGCGTGCGTGTGTCTGTGTGTCTGTGTGTGTGTACGCGCGACCACTTGCATGTGAGGGTGCCAAGTTTATGCAAGCGCTCATGCAAGGGCTCGTGTCAGCGTTCGCGGCGATCGAGCCCCCCCCCATCACATGACCTCACAATGCCCCGCTCCCTCCCCTCTTCGTCCCTCTCCTCCTTCTCCCCTCTCTTGTGCAGGTTGATTGTCAACCCGGACGAGCGACCGGTGGTGGTCAACGCACGAGGCGATGTTGCAGCAATTGTGTCTGGGTATGCCGCCGCACAGCAGCACGGCCACCGCAAGTTTGTCGCTGAAGCGAAGCGGCGCGGAGCAACGCAGCGCAAGCGCGAGCAGCGGCGCCGAGACAAGAACGCACCGCACCTCATTGGCTGATGCGTTCGTCAATGTCAGTGTCGCTCGTTGCATATTGTCATACATATCATACACTGTGTAGGAGTTGTTACATTAGGACAGACTTTCGACCTTTCCCTCTCAATCTCTTCTACCTTATTTCCTCCTTCCTCCCTCTCTTCATTACTTTTTTTCCATAGATTGATTGTATAGCTCTCATCTTGCACAGTACACAAGCAGAAGAAGAAGAAGAAGAAGAAGAAGAAGAAGAAGAAGAAGAAGCAGAAGAACAACAACAACAACAACAACAACAACAACAACAACAACAACAACAACAACAACAACAACAACAACAACAACAAGAGGAGCAAGAAGAACAAGAAGGAGAAGTGTAGTATTGAAGTGAAACCACGACCTCGAGGTAAACACGAACCAGGACACACACTGCTGGGGCATTGGCAGGGAGGGGGCGAGACAGAAAATCAGTAAACGGGACCGAGGTGAGCGAGCGACATGTGTTCCTGCATCTCCGCGACTGTTTTCGCACCTTTCCAGCACAGTGGGCAGCGCCACGGGAAGCTGCTGGCGTCCCCATACGCCGGCATTGATGTGTATTCCTCGATCTTGTGGGTGAGGCACATCGTCGCAATCATCTCGATGGCTTCGACGTGTTCCCCGGGGGGGACGACGTCGATGACAAAGATGATGCCGTAAATCGTCTCGTCGTGCGGGGTTTCGCCAGCTGGGAGGAGGTCACTGTGCACACCGCGATAGTAGTGCTTGCATATCGTGAATGGCGAAGCGTGGCCGACGCGGAACAGCCTGTGCGACAGGGGCTGTCCGGCCCTGCAGGCATATGTGACGTAGATCACTGCAAGCAATTGAGGGGGGGAGGAGGGTTGTAAGCGTGAGATTGATGTGCGATGGAGGGAGATGTTAAACAACAGAGTGAACAGCAGCACATCGCATGATCACGCGCCAAGTCGGTACTGGCAGTTTCACAAACACAATGACATCCAGTCAATACCTTGTGGGTTGAGAGCGAGAGAGAAGCGCATGTCCACGTGCAACATAATCCCGTCTTCAGTTTCGGCGCGGTGGAGGAGCTGGTTGAAGATGCCGTATCGCTCTGGACTGTCTGGTGGCAGCCTGCTCACGCCCCTCTCGATAAAGGCACGCAGAGCCACGAGCCCCTCGTCGGTCATCTCGGCGAGTGCGTCCTTGATTGAGGACAGGTTCAGAATCCGCTCGACGTCTTGTCGGCCCGAGGTGAAGTCCGCGTGCTCGGTCACGACGCGCTCGACCTCGGCGATGATCGAGTCCCGTTCAGCTGCATCCAAGGGCGGTGGAGCTTCAGTCAAGGGTGCATCCCATGGCGTTCTTGGCGTTGTCGACATATCGGTGGTGTACAGTGAGGCGTGTGTGTGTGTGTGTGTGTGTGCAGCGAGGCGTGTGTGTGGGTGGGTGTGGGTGCAGTGAGGCGTGTGTGTGTATGTGTGTGTGTGTGTGTGTGTGTGTGTGTGTGTGTGTGTGTGTGTGTGTGTGTGTGTGTGTGTGTGTGTGTGTGTGTGTGTGTGTGTGTGGGTGGGTGGGTGCAGCGAGGCATGTAAAATGAGGCGTGTTTGTGTGTGCAGTGAGGCATGGTGATGTGCCTCGAGGCAATAGACGGGGCAAGCGTCTCGAGGTGGCAAGCAGCAAACGGCTGTCACAAACCTCGGCAAATAGGGGCTTAAAGATGAACGCATAGGCGCTCACTCCCAGAGCGTATTTCCCGCGCAAACCTCATTGGCCGAACAATGAATGGATGAACAACGACAGCGGGCGGGACTGCGATTTGAACACGAACGCAAGCGACTTCGGTCCCGCGCGTGGGAGCGACATGCTGAACGTGGTCACGGGCATCTCACGCGCGCCATCCATTGCCTGCACAAGGCACAGCAGGATACACAAAAACTGAAGACACTGCCAACATCGAGCCTTGGCAGCGATGCAAGCAAAGGCCGGGGCGCGATGCAAAGAGGGACGTGCAAAAGCCAGCGGCGAAGAAATCAATTGTGATGATGGCGGCGAGAGGGGGGGGGGGTAAGTGATGATGACGCCTGGGGGGAGAGCGCTGATGATCACTACGACGATCAACCGCCAGTTCAACTGCCGCAACGCACGTTCTCACAGCGGCAGTCAGGCAGCCACAGAAGCAACAGCAGCCGGTACCGCCTCAGCGCCTCGCTCAGCAAACCACGCCAAACAAGCGTAAGCCCCACAAATGCGGGTGGTGTGGGCAGATGCTCAAAGGCCGCACGCCCCGTGCAAGGGCGGCTTCGAGTGTACGCGATGCGCAAGGCAGTGCACGGCGCCGAACCAGGCACATGGCGTCATTGCCATCACCCCCATCACCTTCCCCTCAAGCGATGAAGAGGACGAGAACGCAACGATTGCTTGACATGCAATTGCGTTCGGGGCGAGCAGCTTTTGTTGCTTCTGCTGTTCTGCGCCGTATGCAAGAAATTCACACAGTGAAGAGAGCAACATCAACAACAACACGACGTTGCTTTGTCTGTCTGTCTGGCGGTGTTGTGGTGATGGCGGCTGCTGGAAGTTCATTTATCATCTCTCTGCCATCGATCAACAGACCAAGCAAGCAACCAAAAGCAACCTACCTTGTGTGACTGGCTAAGCAGCAACGAAGCGTAGACAACCCCGCGCCCCCTTCACTTGCTCCTACAACTACTACGACTACTGCTCCTACATACTACGACGACAACCACCACCACCATGTCCAACCTTCCCGACGACCAGATTCTCAAGCCAACGAAGACGCTCAAGCTTGAGGATGGCTTGACCCTGTACACGTTCTACCTCGAGTGCTTGGCCCACGGCTCGTACATGGTGTGCCACGAAGGCAACTGCTTCATCGTGGACCCGCGCCGCGACATCGGCATCTACTCCAAGTACCTGCAGGACCACAACCTCAAGCTCAAGGGCGTCCTGGAGTCGCACCTGCACGCCGACTTTGTCTCCGGCCACATGGAGCTGCACAAGCGCTACGGCGCAACCATCTTCATCGGCGAGGACGCCGGCGCCCAGTTCCCGCACTACCCCTGCGGGGACGGCGAGATGTTGCTGCTCTCCAGCAAGTACGCCATCCGCGCCATGCCCACCCCCGGCCACACCCCGGGCTGCGTCACCTGGGTTGTTGTTGAGCGTGCCACAGACAAGGCCGTCATGGCCTTCACCGGCGACACCCTCTTCGTTGGCGGCTGCGGGCGCCCGGACCTCGTCGGCGCCCTCAACCCGGACCTCACCCCAGAGGTGCTCTCCAAGATGATGTTCAAGTCCCTGCGCGAGAAGATCCTCTCCCTGCCGGACGAGTGCCTCGTCTTCCCCGCCCACGGACCCGGCTCGCCCTGCGGCAAGGGCATCAGCGCAGATCTCTCCTCCACCATCGGCAAGGAAAAGGAGACCAACCCTGCCCTGCAGATTGACGACGAGCAGAAGTTCATCGAGTTCAACACCGCTGGCCTCGACACCGCGCCGCAGTACTTCCCCAGCGCCGTCATGGCCAACCTCAAGGGCGCTGACGACCTTGACAGGGAGGTGGAGAATGTGACATCACTGTCCATCTCCGAGTTCAAGGCCGCCATGGGTGACGACGTCGTCATCCTCGACACGCGCAACGCCGGGCCTTTTGCCGCCGGCCACATCAAGGGTGCTCTCAACATCCCGCTCGGCCTCGGCGGCGGCGTGCACCTGGAGTATGAGGACGGCAACTTTGCCATCTGGGTGGGCACGCTCATCGCGCCCAAGGCAAAGGTGCTCATCATTGCCGAGGAAGGCAAGGGCAAGGAGGCCATTGAGCGACTGGGCCGCATCGGCTATGCCCAGCAGATCATCGGCAACCTCAAGTCTGGCATGGAGACCTGGATTGAGGCCGGCGAGCCCGTGGACAAGTTTGACAAGATCACAGTGGTAAGCAGAGATAGACGGCGTGTGCGTGTGTGTATGTGTGTGCGTGTGCATGTGTGTACATGCATGTGAGAGGGTGTGTGCATGTGCGTGCATGTGTGCATGCGTGTGCATGTGCGTGCATGCATGCAAACATATGCTTGCGAACATGTCGTTGTGTGCATGAACTTGATTTCTTGTTGGTTGCCTATGTTGGCTGGCTTGTACATCTTCTTCTCTGCTTTCATTTGTTTCCCCTGACACTAACACCATCATCCCCTCCCCTCTTCCCTGCCCTCCTCCTCCATCACAACCACGTTACCATCATCATCATCATCATCATCATCATCATCGTCATCATCATCGTCATCATCATCAGGAGAGCGCCGACACCATCCGCCAGCTCCAGGCCAAGGGCTATGTCATTGTGGACACGCGCACATCTGGCGAGTACTCGTGCGTCGTTCGCGGCCACGTCAAGGGATCCATCAACCTGCCCCTCGCAGAGGTGTGTTTGTGCGTATGTGTGTGTGTATGTATGTGTGTGTCTGGTGCATGCACGCATGTATATGTGTGTGTGTACTTGCACGTTTGCCCCTCTCTTCTTTGCTTCGCATTGCTCTCGTGCACGCTCATCCTCACACGATTCCCCCTCCACCAAACCATCAATCCCCACAGCTCCCCCAGTCGTGCTCTGCACTGGACCGCGACAAGAAGTATGTCGTGTACTGCCTTGGCGGATTCCGCAGCGCCATTGCCGTGTCGCTGCTGCGCCAAAAGGGCTTTGATGCCGTCGACTTTGTTGGCGGTTACGACCGCGGCATCCTGGCAAAGGGGTGCGAGATGACCACTGCACAGCCCGACGTGTGCGACAAGGCCAAGGCTGCAGCTGAGGAGGCAAGCAAGCCCACCACCGTCTCCATCTAACACCGCCACTGCTCCCTGATGATGATGATTGTGGGACGATATGATGTGCGACTGCCGTTGCCGTTGTTGTTGTTGTTGTTGTTATCGTTGTGGTGGTGAAGGTGGTGGTGTGCTTCTTTGAAAACCCTGGCTAGTTGCTGATGTACAGATTTGACCAATGGGTGTGTGTGTGTGTGTGTGTGTTTGCGTTTCATTGCTTTGCCCTTCCTCTATATTTTCTGGCTGATACTGATTCTTATCTTACATGATGCGACACGTCTCACCTCCGGGGACTGTGTGTGTGAGCGTGTGTTCTGGTTCTTTGTGTTCTTTCCTCATGCGTCATGTTCAACTTCGCGTATTTCGCATCAATCAATCAACCAATCAAAGTAAAGAGCCCAAAGGAAAGAAGGTCAGTAAACGAGGAGCATGCATGCAGTTGGGGATGGTGGCGCTGTCACGAAAGAAGACGAGCAACGGACACATGAGAACAGTGAACGCAAATGAAGACGCGCGTACATGTGGGAGAACAGGGGCTTAGGCACAGAAATGCGCGTGTGAGTGTGTGTTGGCAGCGTGAAGCACACGAAGCGGCAAGCAACTCAAACGGCGTGCGTGGAGCAAACGCCGTTGCACGCAACGAAGAATACATAATGAAGCAGTGTGAAGCGCACAAAGGAGATGGTAGTAGGTTGGTCGCGTGCAAGGCAAATACAGACGATTAACTGAAAACACAAACAAGGCTTGTCGTGCAACAACCAGCGCAAGGAAACACGAAACAAGTGGGATGGACGCTATGCAGAGCAAAACACCGCAGCATGAAACCTGCGCTGTTATGCCGAGGTGGAAGATGAGCTGGTGTGTGCTTGTGATGTCATGGCATGACGCTCAAACAAGGCGAATATGTCAGCAAAGGACGGGCGCGCCGTTGGCTGTGCACTGACACACCGGTCATACAGGTCCTTGTACCAGTCGGCTGCGCGCGGGCATTGTGGGTGTACATCATGTGCGTGTGAGTGTGTGTGTGTGTGTTTGGAGAGGAAACAAGGTGAGTTGACAAAAGGTGGTGACGGGCGAGGACTGGCAGGGTTGAGTTGCAGTCATCAGGGCAGGTGGCAGTTTGGCCACTGTGCAAACACACACACACACACACACACACACACACACACACACACACACACACACACACACACACACACACACACACACACACACACACACACACACACACCACACCACACCACACCAGACACCACAGGGTCAGCAAATCCTACCAAGGTTGTCCTCATGTTCAGCAAAGCTGAGACGGGCGCCGCCCTGCAAGAGGTCAAGAACAGCGCGGCCGGGTGGGCCACCACGGTTTGGCTGCTCCTGCTCCAGCAAGTCTGGCCGCTTCTGCGTGTGTATCTCCCACAGCACAACGCCAAAGCTGAACACATCTGCCTTGAATGCGTCGTAAGGGCCCCGCAACAGCGCCTCCGGTGCCATGTACAGGGGTGTGCCCACACCAGCCGTCATGCTCATCTCCAGTGATGTGCGGGTGAGTGCGTTGAGCTCATCTTGGGCACCGCCAACGCTGCCGCTGGCAACGCCCGCACGAGCATGGGGCGACGCGTTCTTGGCGAAACAAGCGCGAATGGAACCAAAGTCCGTAATCTTCGCACGCAGCGTCTGGGACACCAGCACATTGCCGGTCTTCAGGTCTCTGCGGGTGGAAGGGGAGAGAGAAGGTGGGTGTGATGAGATATGGCTGTCAAGCACACGATGGACACTGTCACTGCTTACACACACACACACACACACACACACACACACACACACACACACACACACACACACACACACACACACACACCTACCTGTGGGCGAGATCGAGGGAGTGGATGTACTTCATGCCGCAGGCAATGTCGCGAGCAAGGCGCAACTTGAGCTCAGCAACGGTGTTCACCTTCCTCTGCCGCTGCTTCTTCGTGTGCCGCAGGGACCCGAGACGGCTCTCCGTCATGCGCGTGTGCTCGTTCACATGTATTGCCCCAATCTCATCCGTGTTGTTGGTCACCATATAGAAGGACGGGTCCTGTGATGATGACGCAGAGTCGGCCGATGAACCGGGCATGTCAACGACAAACAGGCTCGCACTCTCCTCATCATTGCCATCACCACCGCCACTGCTGATCACGCTGTGCCGCCGCCGCTGCTGCTGCTGCTGTTGTTGTTTGTCGTCGGACACCTCCTGCAGCTGCAGCAGGGGCAGCATGTCCTTCATCAGGAGACCGCGCAGTGAGCCGAGCGCAACCAGCTCAAGCACAAGGAAGGGGCACCCGCTCGGCGTCTGCCCGGCGCCAAAGAACCGCACCACGTGTGCGTGGCGCGTCTTCTGCAGAAACTCCACCTCCTTCTGAAACTCGACGACCGTTCCCTCGTCCAGCACCATCAGGCCTTGCTTCAGCACCTTCACCGCCACCGTCAGCGAGTCCCAGCGCACCTTCCACACCTCCCCGTACGTGCCGAGCGAATTGGCGTCGATGCGGCTGATAAAGTCGAGGTCGCCAAAGTCAATCTCCCATGCCTGCTTCAGCGCCATCACCTCCTTGTCCTTCTCCGAGATGAGCTGCTGGTTGAGCTCGTCCTTCGCCCGCCACTGCCGCCGCTCCGCCCGGTGCCGCTTGTACCGCTGGTACAGCAGCTGCCCAACCCCAAGCATCAGCCCAAAGAACACGCCCGCAACTGCAATGCCGGCCACAGCCGCCGGGGGCAGGCCCTGCGGGCGACACTCCCCGCGCCGCGACACAAACTGCGCAGAGCACGAGCACGTGTACCTGTACGCAAGCTCGGCAGTGAGCGGCGTCTGGAGCTGGTTGGCCAGGCGCACGCGTGCCGTCTCCAGCACGACGCGGCAGCTGACGGGGGTCTGGTCCAGGTTGAACACGGGCGGGTTTGGGCGCGCCAGGACAGGGGCAGCAAGGTCGGCGGTGCGGTATGCCTGCGTGCTCAGCACCACCTGCTCCGACAGGGCGCGGTTGAGCGAGTTGAAGTCGCGCAGCCAGCCGTTGTGGGAGAGGTCGAGGATGGAGACGGACTGCAGGCAGCGGCTGGCGAGCATGGGCACAGCATCTCGTGTGCGGAACTGCGTGCTGAGCAGGCCGCGTGCAAAGAGCATGCTCCTGCCCAGCGTCACGCACAGCTCTGGCAGCGGTGGCACGCTCGTCTGGCTGATGTCCAGCGTGTTGGCAAAGCTCACGCTGAGGTTGGTGAGCAGGTTCGCGCCAAGGAGGTCGAGGTGGCCCACGGCGCCCTGGCTGATGACGGTGGTGAGGTGCGGGTTGCGGGGCAGGAATACCGTCTGGAAGCGGTGGTCGCTACACAGCTCAATGGTGGTGTACCTGGAGGCGACGATGGCAAACTCGCGCACGCGCACGCCGAGGTTGGAGCAGATGACCGGCAGCGGGAGCACGTGCTCATCCAGGTGCAGGCTGCCAATGTACAGCTCGCGCAGGTACAGCATGCCCTTGCCAAAGAAGCCTGGCGCGTCGTCAACAAGCCGCAGGAAGCGGATGTCGAGGGACTGCAGCTGCGAGAAGGACGATGGGTCGGCGTCCTCAAAGCTGAGCGTCGTCACGTCGTTGTCGCGCTCGAGACGGGACATGTCCAGGCGCTTCAGCTTCCGCAGCACCGCAAACTCGCGGAAGCGGATGTGCGGGATGCTGTGGCGGCCGATGCGGAAGGCAACCAGCTGGGGGTGGTTGCGGAGCACCGGCATTTGGCGCAGCAACATGTTGCCCGAGAGCTGGAGGGCCGTGAGTGCAGGCAGGTCAAAGTCAAACGAGCTAAACGCGTTATCGTCGAGCTGCAGGAAGGTGAGGTTGCGCAGCGTCACGGCCGTGTCGCCGGGCAGGGAGAAGAGCCTGTTCTTGGCCAGGCCGAGGCGCTCCAGGCTCGCGGATGCGGGGAAAAGGTTGGTGGGCAGGCAGGAGAGCCTGTTTCTGCTGAGACCGAGCTGGTGCAGGGCAGACACGTCTGAGAAGAGGCCCGATGGCAGGCAGGACAGGCGGTTGCGGTCGAGTGCCAACGTGGTCAACTGAGTGGCGCGGTTGAATATACCCGGTGGCAATGTGCCGAGCTCGTTGCCTGCAAGGAGCAGAATCCGCAGGGATGTTGTTGCACTGAACGTGTCGGCGTGCAGCACGCGCAGTCGTAGCTCGCTCAGGTCAAGGAAGCACAGACGGGACAGGGATTGGAGGGCCCCCTTCTCCAGGAATACATGATCGCCGACAGCCGCGTGTGAAGGGTCTGGTGGCGTGCATGCAGGCATTGCACTGCAGGAGCGGCCGTCCGCCTCCTCAGGGGAGACGTGGCGCGGGTCGTTCTGGTCACTGTTGTCATCACCGGCACCATCAAGAAGCGTGTGGCCGTAGCGGTTGTTTCTGGCGATGCGCAGATGCCGCAGCTCGTGCAGGTCAGCAAAGAGGCTGCTGGAGATGGAGGTGAGGGCGTTGAAGCGGAGGTCGAGAACAAGGAGGCGGGACAGGCTCTCAAAGGCATGGTCTTCGAGGTGGGTGATGATGTTGTTGCGTAGGCGCAGGAACTGCAGCGAGGGCACGTGGGCCAGGGTGTTATCGCCGAGCTCGCTGATGCGGTTGGAGTTGAGGCTGATGGACTTGAGGGCGGTGAGGCCCATGAAGATGGTGGTGGGCACGCGCGTGAGGACGTTGTTGGAGAGGTCGAGCGAGGTGAGGTTGTAGGCAAACGGGAGGCGCTTCTCCTTGACCTTGGTCAGCTGGTACAGCTCGTTGCCGGCGAGGATGAGGTGCCGCAGGTCGGGCACGTCGAGGAACAAGGAGAGATCGAGCGTGCCGCTGACGAGGCCCGTTGCGTTGAGGCGGACGACGTGTGGCCAGCGAATTTCCAGCAGCCACTCCAAGTCTCGCAGGTGCACCGTCCCGTAGAGCACAAGCTCCTTGAGGTTGGCGAGGGCACTCAGGTTCCTTGCCTGCCCGCGTACCACCATCTCCGCAAGCTCCTCCACAACCGGATAATGGCTCGGGACCGGGTTGAACTTGATGCCCATGGAAGTGTCGTCCTGTGCCACTGCGGCGCTGTCCAGCAGGTGTTGGGCAGTGGCGCAGCTGCCCTGCACCAGATCCGAGAACAGGCACTCGCCAAAGTTCTTCAGGGGTGGAGGCGGTAGGGGCGCGGTGACGGAGCATGTGCCGTCGTTAAACGTGGGCGCGGCAGTTTCCTGCAGCTCTTGCGCATCCCTGCGCACGCGCTGCCGGTGCCGGCGTTTGTCGTCGTGATCGCGATCCTGGTTGGGGTGCAATGGGGTGGGTATGGTTTGAGCAGAGCCGGTGTTGTGCGTGCCCAACGGCTGCTCCGTGGATGTGTCTGATCCTGATTGTGATGGTTCCACACAGTGTGCGTTGTAGAGGTTCAAGAGGGCGTTGTTGTTGTTGTTGTTGTTGTTGTTGTTGTTGTTGTTGTTGTTGTTGTCGGTATGCGTGAGTGCGAGTCGCGCCTCTTCGCACACGCGACTGCCGTCGCCCATTTTGTTTGGGGCAATCACTTCGACGACATTGTTCGAGGAGTCGCGCACAGCGTGCACAACTGCTCCGTCGTATTGCTGCGCCAACAACAACAACAGCGTCGTCGCCAGCAGCACCAGCACCGGCGCAAACGCCATGACGCTTTTGCTGTGCGTGGTGCTTGATGTTGGTGGGTGAGATGGATGTGTGCGCGTCGTCTTCTGCGTTTTGCTTCTACCCATCGAAAATTGGTATAAATCATACACAAAAAGTCAAGGCAGTGATTGTGCTTGTTGTTGTTGTTGTTGTTGGTGTTGTTGTTGGCGTTGTTGTTGTTGTTGTGTGTGCATGTGTGTGTGTGTGTGTGTATGTGTGCATGACTCCTTTCCTTCACGATGGAACTCCTTTGCTTTCCTTTCTTCCCTTTCCACTCAGCCCGCTTTCTGTTACTCCCCATTGCAGCAGTCACCGTGGTGTCTGCAGTTATGTATTTAATGTATGTAAAAGTAGAGAGGCACAAGGGGGCAAAAGGTGGCGCATGGCGCCAGGCATGGGAGCAAAATAAACAGGCATAACATATCGTCAACTGGCACGTCCTCAAGTAGACGCACAACCAAGAACAAGAACAACAAGAACAACACGTGTTTCAAGACGTGGCAAGGCAGGGGGGGGGGGGATGAGAGAGGTCCCCCCCCCCAAAGTAAGCAACAACAAGCAACAAATGTGAGGAGCAAAAGAACGTACCCATCAATGTCACACACTGTAACCTGCGGTGCAGTGCTGTCGCCACAGCGCCAATGAGCAGCACATGGGGCCTTTAAAGAAGTAAGAAGGGGGGGGGGGGAGGAGGCAATACAAATAATAGGGGAAAAAGGAACAACAGGGCAAAGTAGGTGTACACGTGTAGTTAGGACGCAGTGTGCCTCCTTCTCATAGTATGCAGAACTTATCGAACATAAAAAAAAACGCAGAACGGTATCGTAGTAAGCAAACAAGCTTTTGCTGGCATCCAAGCCACAGCAACAAGTGAGCGAGAAATCCAATTATGTGGGTAGGAGCGAATACAGTATCTGGGCGTCGCCTCTCGCTCGCTCCGCTAACAAGAGGAAACCAACCTCAAAGAACAACACACACACACACACACACACACACACACACACACACACACACACACACACACACACACACACACACACCTCCCGCCCTTTGTGTGTTCAGTCCTCATCCGAGGGCTGCGGGGAGGTGATGCCGGAGGTGGGCAGCTGCAGCGGCGTCACCGGCTCCCGCAACAGCTGCCGCGGGCTGTGCACCACTGCATTGCCATCTCCTTGCTGCTGCGGCTGTACATGGTGGTGGTGCACGTGGGGCGGTGGGGAGCTGGTGCCGGCGCTCTGCACGCGGACCGCAGGCGTGGGTGCGCTCGACTCTGGGAGGCGGAGGGTGCCGTCCGGGTTCATGTACGCCTCAACGGCTGGTGCACCAGACTGCACAAGCTGCCGCCGCTTCATCGCAATCACATCTTCCTCCTCCTCCTCCTCTTTCACTTCTTCGCCCTGCGTACCCTGCGTGCCCTGCTGGGCGTGCGAGGCGCCGTCCTGCAAGCCGTCCTCATCTCCACCATCAGCGTCGTCTCCATCACTGTACAAATCGTCACGCGGATGCGACGCTTCGCTGCTGCCGTTGCCGCTGTTGTGACGGTGCACACGGGAGCGCGGTGGGGACGGCGGTGCGTTCCGCAGGCCAGACGTGTTGGGCGAGCCCTCCATCTGGTGCTGTGGGTGCTGCTGCGGCGACTGGTGTGGCGATGCGTGCTGGGATGCGTGCTGGGATGCGTGCGAAGAGCCCGGTACCGGCATTGCTTGCTGCTGCTGCTGCTGCTGCTGCTGCTGCTGCTGCTGCTGCTGCTGCTGATGGTGGTGCTGCTGCTGGTGGTGCTGGGTCGGGTGCTGGTATTGGTGATCCATGCTCGAGTGGCGAGACATGTCATGCGACGCGTCATGCGACGCGTGCGCAGACATGTTCGTCGGCTGCTGGTATTGAAATGGCTGGTACGATTGCTGGTACTGCTGCTGCTGCTGTTGCTGGTGGTGGTGGGGCGATGCGGGCTGCATGACAGGGGAGGGTGGCTGTGGAATGACAACACCAGTGCCAGTGCCACCGCTGCCTGTGGAGCCGAGCGACGACACCGATGCGCCGTGAGCAGCGTACGCATACGACGGGTGCGGTGGCTGTGCCGGCGGCATGGCATAGTGTTGTTGCTGATGCTGCAGCTGTTGCTGATGCTGCTGATGGTGGTTGTGGTAGGCCACCAGCGCCTGTGTTTGCTGGTGAGCAGACATTGCAGACGCGGTGAGCGATGCGTTGCTGGTGACAACCGCGGGCAGCGGCGTGTGCAGCGTAATCTGCTGCGGATACATGGGCTGTGGCTGTGGTTGCAGCTGCTGCGGGTACTTGTGTTGCTGGTGGTGCGGTGGGTACGGCTGTTGTTGTTGTGGGTACTGGTGGCTAGGCATGCTTGCTGTGCTCGCTGCGCTGGTTGAGAACGACGCCCGCAGCGAGGGCGGGGACATGTGGGGCGGCGGCACGGGATACTGCGCGTGCATGTGCGGGGAGGCGCCGAGCGAGGGCGGGTTGCTGGAGCCCGAGGACGCGTACACGTGCGGCATGGACGGGGGCGACACAGACATCATGTGCGCGGCAGGCACGGGCGACTGGGACGAGTACCCGTGCATCATCCCGACCGTGTGTGGGGAATGCGAGTGGGGGTGTGACCCCTGCGAGTGCGGGGAGTGGGACGGTGACGTCATCATCACGTGCGCGTGCGGGGAGGGCGACTGATGTTGCGTATAATGGCCATGCTGCTGCTGCTGCTGCTGCTGTTGTTGTTGTTGTGGCTGAATCACTTGCATTGGGGGCAGCCAGGGCGACCCTGGCGGCTGCTGCTGCCGCTGCTGCTGCTGCTGCGCTGTGGGGACACCGCCCTCCGTCAGCGAGCCGGCCGATGACATGGTGGCGTGCATGGGCGCCTGTGATTGTGCCTGTGATGTGGGGTCGCGTGTGCGGTGCGATGCCGGCAGCTGCTGCTGCGGCGGAGGGAGCGGGTCGCCGTCAAACTCGCGCGTGGCCTCACGCATCTCGGCCTCGAGCGTGTCCTGGGACTTGGCCATAACCTCCTCGTGGTGCTGCTGCTGCGCCGCTTCCTCCTCCTCCAGCTGGGCCGCGGCAGACACGCGCTGAAGGTGCATTCCCACGCGCTCAATCACACCATTCAGCACAGAGGTCTCCTAAACGAATGTTTGAGAGTGAAAGAGAAAAATGGTGGTGGTGGTGGCATGAGGGAGGAGCGCGTGGAACAAAACACTGGAACCATCCAGTGAAACGAGACAGATACACACAACCAAACAATCCAAAACACCCACATACCCACATACCCACATACCCACATACCCACACACACACCCACACACCTACACACACACACACGCACACACACACACACCCACACACCCACACCCACACCCACACTCACACGCACACAAACAAACACACACACACACACACACACACAAACAAACACATCAAGTACACACCTGGGTGGTGTCCATTTCTGAATGGATGAGGTGCAGCAGGCCCGCGGCATCGCGCACGAGCTGGCGGGCCTCCTCGGCGGTCTGGGCGTTGGCGGCGTCAATCAGCCGCTGCCGCGCCACGTCGTACACCAGCCACTGCCACCCGTAGGAATTGCGCCACGCTCGGTAGTGCCGCTGCTTGGCAAGGAGCAGCAGCTGTTTGTAGCGCTGGCCGCTCGCAAGCATGGTGACCGACGCGTGCTGGAGGACGGGGGCGACATACGGGTGGTGCATGCACGTCTCAAACGTCTCCGTCAGCGTGCGCAGCCGGGTCAGCGCCTCCATGCTCTGCAGGTACACGGCCTGGTACACGTGCATGGCCACCACGTGCGACGCCGGCGGCTGGAACACGTCAATGTCCTCCACGCTCACGCTCAGATCCACGCTGCCCTCCTTGCCAAACATCCTGTCCAGGGCCTCGCGCTTGGCTGCGCTGAGCCGGCTGCCGCTGCCGCTGCGGCCGCGGTTCCTGCCACCGCCACCGCCCACATTGCTTGGAATGGCTCTGCCGCTCGCCGTGTTCTGGCCGCTGCCGCTGTTGGTGTGGTGACTGCTGCTGCTGTTGGTGTTGTTGAAACTGGTTGCAGATGCTCCTGGCGTGCCTCGTGCTGCGGGTGTTGTCTTCGAGGACAGCGCAGTGGTTGCAGCCGTGCTTCCTGCGTTGGCGTTGGCGTTGAAGCGCGGTGATGACGGCCGTGACAGCACCGATGCCGCCGCCTCCGCCTCTGCCTCCACCCATGCTGCACGCGCCTCCTCGCGCAGGTCCTGCGATGGCGGCAGCAGCACTAGCCACTGCCAAACCGCACGCTCGCCCGCTGCCTGCACCGAGCTTCCGCCATCTCCCTGCTGCGGCTGCTGCTGATGTTGATGCTGCTGTTGCCATCGCATCTGCTCCTGCTCCACGCGCTGCTGCAGCTGCTGGTCGCGCTGGTGCCGCTGGTGCCGCTGCTCGTCGGTGAGGGTGGGCACCGCGGGGCGGCCGTCGCTTCCCTTGGGCAAGTTGCGTGGTGGCAGGTTGCGGACCGCAGCCTTGGACAGCGCAGGGTCCGACAGCGTGGTCACGGCCAGCACGCCCTTCTTGAACTCGTCACAGCACAGGTTGTCGGCAATCTCAATGGCCACGCGCAGCGGGTGCACCGTGTCGTCAAAGGCCCGCATGAAGCCGTGCACTGTCTCCATCGTCAGCGTCTCTGCAGCCTTGCGCTGCTTCGGCTCCAGCAGGCTGTAGTCTCCGCGCTGCCACGCCTCAAGCGCAATCATTGCGGGCGAGCGCATGTCGACGTTGACCCTGTTGTCAGGTGTGCCCGGCGCCGGCGTACCAATCGCCGCGGTGATGGCGTTGGCGGCCTTGCTCAGCGGGGAGGACGACGTGACGTGCTTGGCCGAGGTCTGCTGCGGCTCGTCGTCTGGCTGCGGTGTCCACAGCCTGGAGACAATCCTCTTCATGCCGCCCAGCAGGATGCCCACAGCACCGCCGCTGCCACGACCGGCATCTGCAGCACCGTGGCGGACGCGAGCGACGCGGCGCTCCAGCTGCTGCGCGCCGTCGTCCAGGATGGCCTGCGTCACGTCCCGCTGGTCCACAATCACCAGCGAGTCTGCAGAGGCCACGGGGAAGTCATACTTGTTCTGCTGCCACGGCGAATCGTGCAGCCGCCTGTCAAAGTAGTCGTCGTCATCGTCATCGGCATCGTTGTCGTCATCATCATGGCGGCGACCTTCTGCATCATGTTCATCATCCTCTTCGTCTCCATGGGCAGCATCAGCATGGGCGCGTGGCGGCGCTTGCTTCGCGCTTGCCGCCGCATCTTTGGCTGCTGTCGTGGCGGTGGGCTTGGGAGACGTGGCACCCTTGCTGTGACGGCGAGCCTGACCAGGCAGCGTACTGGTGCGTGTGGTGGCACCTGCGAGGCCGCGTGCTTGGTCCTCTTCCCTGTCGCGCTGGAGGTCTGCCTCCTCCGTCAGCTGCACGTGCCGTCTGGCGCGCTGCCGCTCCTCTTCGTCAAACAGGCGCACGTCAAGCACCTCGGGCCAGCCCTCGCACGCGGCGCGGTTGGTGAAGGGGTGGAAGAGGACGGTGACGTAGTCCAGGCGGCGGGTTGCGTCGCCCTGCAGCAGGCCGACAAGGAGATCAAAGAGGAGGCCCTTGGCAATGCTGGGGCGGGGCACGCCGCGGTCATGCAGCCGGTCGTGCAGTTTCTTCAGCTCGTCAATCGTGCTCGCACAAAACGGCATCTTGCCCTCGCTGCACATGTACAGAATCACGCCCTGTGAAGCCAATCACGGGCGGGGGCGGGGTGGGTGGGGCGATTGGTTGGTGAGGTCAGTGGTGCGAACATGTGAAGAGAACACATGGGGATTAGAACATGTGTCGCGTGTGTGGTGTTGCGTGTTGGTTTTGTGAACCAGTTCGAGACACGCCACTGACATGGTGGTGGTGATGTGACGCAGGGCAAGGAGGAAAGGGGTGCGACGCAGGGGAGCACACGCGCAGAACAATGGGTAGGGGTGGCATAAAACAAGACACAAGACAGCAACGGCACGACGTACGAGGCTGAAGAGATCCGCCTTGTAATCGTACTTCTGGTGACGCAGCACTTCGGGCGCCTGCCAGGGTGTATTGTACGTGTGTGGGGGGGGGGAGGTGCAATGTGAGTTGAGGGGCTGTGAGCGAGGTGCAATGTGAGTTGAGGGGCTGTGAGCGAGGTGCAGGCGAAGCAACAACGGCGAAACGACAACGTTGTAACAGGAAATACCAACACCAACACGAGATGCAGACACACACTCCCCGCAACAGCGCACAGCGCTGCGTGGCGCACCATGTATGAGGGCGAGCCGCAGAAGGTGTTGGTCATGTGCGAGTCGTTCAGCTCGCGAGCAAAGCCAAAGTCGGCAATCTTCAGGATGCCCTCCGTCGTCAACAGCACATTCTGCACGCAGGCCAGTGTGTGTGTGTGTGTGTGTGTGTGTGTGTGTGTGTGTGTGTGTGTGTGTGTGTGTGTGTGTGTGTGTGTGTGTGTGTGAGAGCAACGCAAGAGAACCACAAGTGCAACACATGTACAAGACACGTACAAGAAAGCAACATTCACGCCACAAGCACGAGCAACCCCCCCCCCGCGCGCAATACACACGTGCGTGCCAGCCAGTACCTGTGTCTTGAGGTCCCTGTGGATGATGCGTTTGGAGTGGAGAAACTCCAGGGCGTCGCGGAGCTGGATGGCGGTCTTGCGGACCTGAATTGGCGTCAGGCGGCCGTTCTTCTCGCCCACGAGCTCCGGGAAGCGCACGGGCTTGCTCAGGCTCGTCGGGCCAAGGTAGTCGTGCAGCGTTTGCCAGCACAGCTGATGGTGGGCAGTTGTTGTTGTGGTGGTTGTGGTGGTCAACGAGAGTAGAGGGGTGACGATAAGTGAGTGAATGCGGCACAGCAAGAGAAAGCATGCGTTGGCAGTGCCAGGAACAAAGCACAAGCGCATGCAGGCACATGCAGGCGCATGCAGGATGAGCCCGTTGTTGCACGCAACACGCAGCGTGGACGCATAACACACCTCCAGAGCGAGACAGCGCTCGGTGCGGGTGGAAAACGTGTCGTAGAGCATGACAATGTGTTCGTGCTGCAGGCGCTTCATGACAGCCACCTCCCGTTCCAGCGATACGCGGGCGTGTCCTTTCAGCCGCCGCGTCTTCACCACTTTGACGGCAATTTTCAGGCCCTGAACAGTGTGAACACGAGTGAGTGAGTGTGTGTGTGTGTGTGTGTGTGTGTGTGTGTGTGCGAGTATGTGTGTGTGTGTGTGTGACAGCAGCCCCAGATGCCGGTTTGTCGAAACACTGCAAAACGTGGTCACTGTTGCACAACGTCGAGCCGGGCACAGCAGCAGTCAAAACCCCAAGCCAAAACCGACGATACAACATCAAATGCCGGCGCGTCACTGCAATGCACAGCGAATGCACAACACGTACATCCTCGCGTTGGCCGCGGAAGACGGTGGCAAAGGCGCCATTTCCCAAGTTGTTCTTGGTGCGACGGAAGGTGTATTGCCCATACGTCTCGACGCGCGAATCGCTCGGGTCGAACATCACACTCAGCTCAGCTCACTCAGCTCACCCACGACGACAGCGTCTGTCGTCTTCCGAGTGCAGTGGCGGCTGTGTTTGCTGATGTGGTAAAAGGAGCGAGGACGAGAGAGAGAGAGAGAAGACAAAGGAAAGAAGGGAGAGAGAGAGAGTGTGTGTGTGTGTGTGATAGTTACTGCCAATTCCTGCTGAATGAAACCAAACAAATGAGAAAGAAAGAGAGAGTTATGATGTTCAATTACACGCAGAATCGTTGTTGTTACACGTGAGCGTTGCATCCTTGTAACTTGTATGTACAACAGGCCGTCAGCAAAATGGCACAACAAGAAGCAGGGCTCCAATCATTCGCGCGCATGCAGCACAAATGCAACGGTGCACACCACATGTGTGCGTTTCGAGTGCCACGTCAGCCCTCATCATGTCGTCAACCCTCATCACGCCAGCTCCCATCATCACATCATATGGCATCAGAAAGGTGCACGGTCGACAACCAACCAACCAACCAACCAACCTTGAGAGCCAGGAGCGGAGTGTGCACGGCTGGAAAGACTGAAAGCAAGGGTGGAAGGGCTGCTCGCTGGTGATTTTGTCGGCCAGTGAATCTGTCGAACGGAGGAGAGTAGGCAGTGGGAAGAAATAAATAAATAACCAAACAGTGAGCCGCGTTGGATGGCCAGTGCGTTTTGTCGACCAATGCCAACAATAAAGATGCTGTGTTGGCAAACTGGAATGACACAAATCCACAAGCAGCAGCTGCGACGCCAGAAGAACAAAAACAAACAAACAGAAGAACAAACACACACACAGAGCAGACGGAACACAGGCATGTCTGTTCGAGTGCTTGATGTGTGAACACTGTGCGCAAATTGCTATTTTGGGACGAGCTGTGACTGGGTCGAAAAGCAAATTGTGGCAAAACGCGCCGTGGCGGCCTGTACCTCCAGGGCGATGGGCAGGAAGTGTGGGTGGGCGGCTCTGTTCACAGGCCGGGACAAGGTTCAATTAAGCCGGGGTTGCGGTGGCGTTGATGTGGGGTTGTTGTGGCTTGTTTTGTTTTGTTTGTAATGTTTTGGCTGTGAACGACGAGCTGAAGAAAATGAACCGAGAGAGTGGGTATTTGTGAGTACATGTATACTTGTGTGTGTGTGTGTGTGTGTGTGTGTGTGTGTGTGTGTGTGTGTGTGTGTGTGTGTGTGTGTGTGTGTGTGTGTGTGTGTGTGTGTGTGTGTGTGTGTGTGTGTGTGTGTGTGTGTGTGTGTGTGTGTGTGTG